CCCATTGGCTACTCTGGAGTCTGAGGCAGGGAGAATGGCATGAAACCGGGAGGCGGCAGACTTGCTGTGGAGCCTGAGCATCCGGCCACTGCACTCCAGCCTGGGCGACAGAGCCAGACTTCGTCTCAAAAAAAAAAAAAAAATTTGTTGGCCGGGTGCGGTTGGCTCACACCTGGAATCCGCACTTGGGAGGGCTGAGGCGGCGGCATACAAGGTCCAGGAGATTGGAGACCAATACTGGGCTTAACACGGTGAAACCTGTCTTCTACTGGAAAATAACAAAAAAATTAGCCAGGCGTCGGTGGCGGGTGGCCTGTAGTCCCCAGCTACGTTGGGAGCTGAGCAGGAGAATGATGTGAAACCCAGCGAGGCGCCGGAGCTTTGCAGGCCGAGAGGTGGAGCTTCAGTGAGCCGAGATCCGCACGCACTGGCACTCCAGCTCTGGGCCAACAGAGGCAAGGACCTCCATTTCCAAAAAAAAAAAATATGTTGAGGTTTCTTCTATGGCCCTAGGAAAGCGTCATCTCTTTACAGCACGGTTCCTTCCGCGCACTTAGGAAAAGAATGCATGTTTCGCTATTGGGGTTCGGAGTGTGTTCCATGCAGGAATCTATTGAGGTAAATACTATACAGGTTCTATTATTTATTCTCCTGTAATTCCACCCTAGAACGTCTCTATCATTAAACAAGTGGCAGAGGTAATGAGATGATGCTGTGTTCAACTTAAAAAAAAAAAAGGAGTGGGGTATTCGTTCCAACTGTTATGTTTAACCTTTTTTGTAATTTTTTTTTTTGGAGACACAGTCTCACCTCATCGCCAGGCTGAAGTGCAGTGGTGCGGGCGATCACTTGGCTCACTGAAAACCTACGCATCCCAAGAGTTCAAGTGATTCTCTCTGCCTCCAGCTCCTGAGTAGCTGAGACACAGGGCTGTGCACCACCATGCCAGCCTAAATTTTGTTAATTTTTAGTAGAGACGGGGTTTACCACATTGGCCAGGATGGTCTGGATGTCTTGATGTCATGATCTGCCGGCCTTGTCCCTCCCAGAGTGCTGGGATTACAGACGTGAGCCACCGTGCCCAGGCCTATTTTTGCCATTTTTTGCACGAACAAATTTTAAACAATAGAAATACAAGGTATTGCCTGGGCTCGGTGACTCACACCTGTAATCCCAGCATTTTGGGAGATCAAGGCAGATGGATCGCTGGAGCTCAGGTGTTCGAGACCAGCCTGGGCAACATAGTGAGACCCTGTCTCTACTAAAAATGCAAAAATTAGCTGGGTATGGTGGCACACACATGTAGTCCCAGCTACTTGGGAGGCTAAGGCACGAGAATTGCTTGAACCCAGGAGACAGAAGTCGCAGTGAGCTCTGATCACAGCACTGACAGAGCAAGAGTCAGTTTTCAAATAAATAACAAAACAACCCCAGAAATAAGTATGTTCTCTGACCACCATGGAATGAGAAATGAAATTGGAAACTTACACAGAAAATTGGGCAAATTCACTAATATGTGGATATTTACACACTCTTCCATAACTAATGGATCAAAGAGAAATCAAAAGGGAAATACTTTGAGATGGATGGAAAATAAAGACATACCAAAACTTATATAAAGGAAATTAATAGCTATAAATACCTATCCTAAAGATTGCAAATCAACAACCTAACCTTGTCCACCTCAAGACAATAGGAAAATAAAACTAAATCTAAGCAACTAGGAGGAAGGAAATAATAAATATTACAGCCAAATCAATGAAATCGAGAACAGTAAAACAATAGAGAAAAATCAGTGAAACCAAAGCTAGTTGTTTGAAAAGATCAAACAAAACTGATTTAGCTAGATTGACAAGAAAAGAGACTCAAACTTCTTAGAACCAGAACATTACCACCAACCTTAAACGAATACAAAGGATGATAAAAATACTATGAACAGTTACACATCAATACATTAGTTAACATAGATAAACACATTCTTAGAACCACCTTAACTACTGAAACTAAAGACACAGACAATCCAAATACACCTATTAGAAACGAAGAGACTAAATTATTTTTCAAAATCTACTGAAGATGAAAAGCCTGAGCCCGATTCAGGGCCTCTCCCCTGAATTCTACCAAAAATTTAAGGGAAATTTAATGCCAAATGTTTATAAGACATTTTACAAAAGTTGCAAAAGAAAGGAACAATTCCCAACTCATTTTATGAGTATTATCCTGGTACCAAAACCAGATAAAAACATCACAGTAAAACTACAGACCAATATTTATTTGGTTATGGATTCCAAAATCCTCAATAAAATACTAGCAAAGCAAATTCAGTAATATAGAAAAGAATTCTACATCATGACTAGCTGGATTTTCTTTTTTTTTTTTGAGATGTAGTCTCACTCTGTTGCCCAGGCTCGAGTGCAGTGGTGCAATCTTGGCTCACTGCAACCTCTGCCTCCTGGGTTCAAGCGATTCTCCCTGCCTCAGCCTCCCGAGTAGCTGGGATTACAGGTGCTTGCCACCACGCCCAGCTAATTTTTATACTTTTAGTCGAGATGGGGTTTTGTCATTTGGCCAGACTGGTCTTGAACTACTGACCTCAGGTGATCCACCTGCCTTGGCCTCCCAAAGTAATGGAATTACAGGCATGAGCCACTGCGCCCAGCCAACTAGCTGGAATTTATCTAAGAAGTGCAAAGTTGGTTTAACATATATCTTATAAAGGACTTGGATCTAGAATATATGAAGAAAGAGGCTGGGCATGCTGGCTCACACCTGTAATGCTAGCACTTTAGGAGGCTGAGGTGGGTGGGTCATAAGGTCAGCAGTTTGAGACCAGCCTGACCAATATGGTGAAACCCCATCTGTACTAAAAATACAAAAATTAGCCGGGCATGCCGGTGGGTGCGTGTAATCTCAGCTACTCGGGAGGTTGAGGCACAAGAATAACTTGGAGGTGGAGGTTGCAGTGAGCTGAGATCACACCAGTACACTCCAGCCTGGGTGACAGAGCAAGACTCAGTCTCAACAACAACAAAAAGTGGGGAAAGGATGTGAACAGACATTTCTCCAAGAAAAATAAACATTGTCAGTAACTAGTCATCAATGAAATGCTAAATCAGAACAAAAGGACACTTCTCTCCCACTAGGATGAGTAAAATAAAAAAAATAAAAAGGAAAATAAGTTTTGGCAAGGATACGGAGAAACAGGAATCTTCACACATTGCTGGTGGGAATGTAAAATAGTACCACCAATTAAGAAAACAGTTTGGCAGTTCCTTTTGAAAGTTAAATGGCTGGACGCAGCAGCTCATGCCTGTAATCCCAGCACTTTGGGAGGCCAGGGCGAGCGGATCACGAGGTCAGGAGATCGAGACCATCCTGACTAACACGGTGAAACCCCGTCTCTACTAAAAATACAAGAAAAAATTAGCCGGGCGTGGTGGTGGGCACCTCTACTTGGGAGGCTGAGGCAGGAGAATGGCGTGAACCCAGGAGGCGGAGCTTGCAGTGAGCCAAGATTGCGCCACTGCACTCCAGCCTGAGCGACAGAGTGAGACTCGGTCTCAAAAAAAAAAGTTAAATGACTTAGTTTTTGGTCTAGCATGTAAGGAGCTTGGAAGTTATTACTCCACTGTAACAATTAAAAAGCTGAACAAACTGAAAGCTCAACAGCTCTTCTTCCATCTTTCAGAGAACTGATGTCACAGGGCAAGCTCTGCCCCCTCAAACTGAACAGAGAGGTGGATACGGAGAATCACAACTTACCAGAACATGCTACCATGAACAGAAGCCTCTGGGAACCATTACTTAGATGGGAAAGCCTGAGCTGTAACTGATGAATTCCTGGGGGCACAGCATGCACAAGTCTGAGGAATCTCGGGGTGGGGGGGCAGTCTTCTAGAGGAGAAAAATAATGATTTTGAAATAGGCCAGATATTTCTGTTTTTTCTCACTGGGCCTTTCCCTTAAGAGAAACTATTTTACCAGAGTCTCACCTGTGGGGGTTTCATCAGAGTCTAAGTGACCTGTGGAAGAGATGGATCCCACATCAGCTTCCTCTATTCATCCTGTCCCGCCTAAGTGAGAGGAGAAGGAAGAACTGAGAAGCACTTGTGAAGTTCAGTGTCGCGGGGCACAGGCTCACTAAAAGACTGAGACCTCATCAAAGCATCAGGGAATCCTTGCCCTCTGCCTGCACCTCACCACGGCGTTACTAGAGGTCTGTTTACTTCAGTGCCTTTCGCCCAGTACACTGTGTCTAGCTTTCCGGAAAGAAATGACAAGGCATAGTAAACGGCGCAAGACACAGCTTGAAGAGACAAAGCAGAACTCCTCAGATATGGCAGGGACGTTGGAAGTACCAGACTGGGAATGTAAAACAAGTACGATTAACAGGTGAAGGGCTCTAATGGAAAAAGTAGACAACATGCAAAAATAGGCAATATAAGCCAAGAAGTGGAAATCCTAAGACTGAAAAGGCAATGGGAGAGATGAAAAGCACTGTAACAGAAACAGAGAATGACTTTAACGGACTCATGAGCAGACTGGGTGTGGCTGAGGAAAGGCTCTGAGCCTGAAGACATGTAACACAATCTTCTAGGCCGGGTGCGGTGGCTCACGTCTGGAATCCCAGCAGTTTGGGAGGCCGAGGCAGGCAGATCACCTGAGGTCGGGTGACCAACGTGAAGATACCAGCCTGACCCACGTGAAGAAACCCTGTCTCTACTAAAAATGCAAAATTAGCCGGGTGTGGTGGCGCATGCCTGTAATCCCAGCTACTCGGGAGGCTGAGGCAGGAGAATCGCTTGAACTCAGGAGTCCAGGGTTGTGGTGAGCCGAGATTGTGCCATTGCACTCCAGCCTGGGCAACAAGAGTGAAACTCCATCTCAAAAAAAAAAAAAAGAAGATAAAATATCTCCAAAGAAGCCAGAGGAAAAAACACTTCACCTACAGAGCAATGACAAGAATGACATCACATTTCTCCTCAGAAACCATGCAAGCAAGGAGAGTGGAGGGAATTATTTCAAGTGTTCAGAGAAAAAATCCCCACCAACTTAGAATTTTGTGAACTATTCTTCAACCTGAAGGAGAAATAAAGACTTTCTGAGACAAAAAAAAAAAAAAATTGGGGGAATTTGTAGCCAGTAGACCTACCGATATTACAAGAAGTGTTACAAGAAGTTTTTTGAGAGAGAACATTATAGAGGTTAGAACTTTGTATCTACATAAAGAAAGAGCATCAGAAAAAGAATAAGGCAAAATAAAAACTTATTTTTGTTATTAAGTTACTTATAACAAATTGTTCATTTGTTATGTTGTAACAGTGGCATTGTATTCAATAACTATATCTTACCTATAAGTGAAATCGTACCAGTGATACAAGGAAAAGGAGGGAGAAGTATGGAATACCTGCTGTAAGATACTTCACAACCTGGGAAGCAGTATAGTGTTATCTGGATGTGGATTGGCTGTATATTGAAGACTGAAGACTCTAGCCAGGTGCGGTGGCTCATGCCTGTAATCCCAGCACTTTGGGAGGCTGAGGCAGGAGGACTGCTTGAGGCCAGGAGTTCAAGACCAGTCTGGGCAACATAGTGAGACCCTGTCTTTACACAAAGTGTTTTTTTGTTTTGTTTTGTTTTTTTTTTTTTGAGATAGATTCTCCTTTCATAGCCCAGGCTGGAGTGCAGTGGTGCGATCTCAGTTCACTGCAACCTCTGCCTCTCAGATTCCAAGTGATTCTCCCGCAGCCTCCAGAGTAGCTGGGATTACAGGCATCCACCATCATGCCTGGCTAATTTTTTTTGGTATTTTTGTAGATACAGGGTTTCACCATGTTGACCAGGCTGGTCTCAAACTACTGAGCTCAAGTGATCCACCTGCCTCGGCCTCCCAAAGTGCCGGGATTACCGGCGTGAGCCACCGCGCCCGGCCACAAAAAGTTTTTAAAAATTAGCTGGGCTTGGAGGCACGTACCCTGTGGCACCAGCAACTTGGGAAGCTGAGGTGACAGGATGGCTTGAGCCTGGGAGATTGAGGCTGCAGTAAGCCATGACTGTGCCACTGCATTCCAACCTGGGTGACAGAGCAAGATCCTGCTAAATAAATAAATAGCTCTAGGGCTATCACTAAAAAAAGGAAAGAGAAGCATACCTGACTTGCTAAGGAGAAAAAATTGCACAAAACATGCAATTAAAACCAAAAAAGGCAGAAAAAGAGTGGAAGATAAAACAAGGAACAATGAGCAGGGGCAACAAATAGAAAATAGTAACAAATATGTCAGCTATTAATTTAACTATGTCAGTAATCCCTTTAAAAGTTGATGGACTACAATTACAAACAGCATGGACCAAAAAACTAGACCCAACTATACGTTGTCTATAATAGCAGTCCCCAACCTTGCTGGCACCGGGGCTGGTTTTGCGGAAGACAGTTTTTCCACAGATGGACGGGGTGGGGGCTGGATGCTTTCAGGATGGCTCAAGCACATGGCATTTATTGTGCACTTTATTATTACATACCCACCCCAATGTAGACTCAGTGGGAGTCCTGAGCTTGTTTTCCTGTGACTGGAAAGTCTCATCTGGGAGTGACGGGTGACAGTGACAGATCATCAGGCATTAGATTGTCATAAGGAGCACGCAACCCAGATGGCTCTCATGCGCAGTTCACAACGTGGTTCAGGCTCCTAGGCGAGTCTAATGCCGCTGCTGATCCGAGAGGAGATGGAGCTCAGTTTTTTGTTTTTTTTTTTTTTTTTTTTGAGACGGAGTCTCGCTCTGTCGCCCAGGCTGGAGTGCAGTGGCCGGATCTCAGCTCACTGCAAGCTCCGCCTCCTGGGTTTACGCCATTCTCCTGCCTCAGCCTCCCAAGTAGCTGGGACTACAGGCGCCCGCCACCTCGCCCGGCTAGTTTTTTGTATTTTTTTTAGTAGAGACGGGGTTTCACCGTGTTAGCCAGGATGGTCTCGATCTCCTGACCTCGTGATCCGCCCGTCTCGGCCTCCCAAAGTGCTGGGATTACAGGCTTGAGCCACTGCGCCCGGCCCGGAGCTCAGTTTTGTTTGCTAGCCCGCCACTTGCCTCCTACTGTGCAGCCCAGTACTGGTCCATGGCCTGGGGGCTGCGGACCCCTGATTTATAAGAAACCCACTTTAAAGATACATAATAGATTAAAAGTAAGGAGATGGAGAAAGATAAATCATGCTAACACTATTCAAAAGAAAGCTAGAGCACATATATTAATTTCAGGCAGAGGAGGTAAAAACTGCTAGAACTGTAAGGAAAAAATAAATGAATCCACCATCATAGCTGAAGACTTAAACATCTATTAGAAATAGATGAACCAGGCGGAACATTAGTAAGGACAGAGTTGAATTCAACAGCACCCCCAATAATGAATGTCTGTAGACAACTGCAACAACAGCAGAAAGCACGTTCTTGTCAAGCTCACATGGAACATTCCTCAACCTAGACTGTATTTTGGGGCATAAAACACCTTAAGTTTAAAAGAATATCATACATCATATGCTCTTAGACAACAGTGGAATTACAGCAGCATTGCCCTAAAATAAAATATTTAGGTATAAATCTAACAAAATGTATACAAGATCTATCTTAGGAAAATTATAAAACTCTAGCAGAAGAAATCAAATAACTAAGTAAATAGTTATTCCCTGTCCGTGGATAGAAGACTCAATATTGTCAAGACTTCGGTTCTTCCCAACTTGATATACAGATTCAACACAATCCCAATCAAAATCCCAGCAAGTTATTTGATGGATATTGACAAACTGAGTCTAAAGTTTATATGGAGAGGTAAAAGACCCAAATTACCAACACAGTATTGAAGGGGAAGCTTAAAGTTGGAGGACGGACACTGTTCATCTTTAAGGCTTTCTGGAGAGTCATAGTCATCAGGAGTGTGATAGAGAGTGAAGAATGTACAAATAGGCCAGGTGTGGTGGCACATACCTGTAATCTCAGCACGTTGGGAGGCTAAGGTGGGAGGATTGCTTGAGCTCAGGAGTTTCAGACCTCCCTGGGCAATATAGTGAGACCCCATTTCTAAAATTAAGAAAAAATTAGCCAGGTGTGGAGGCTAAAGACCTTAAGACAACTCATCTGTGAAGATATATAGATGGCAGATGTGTATGTAAAAAAATGCTCCAGATCATGTCATCAGGGAAATGCAAATTAAAACAAGATACCGGCCAGGTGCAGTGGCTCACACCTGTAATCCCAGCACTTTGGGAGGCCAAGGCGGGGAGATCACGAGGTCAGGAGGTCGAGACTATCCTGGCTAACATAGTGAAACCCCGTCTCTACTAAAAATACAAAAAATTAGCCAGGTGTGGTGACGGGCGCCTGTAGTCCCAGCTACTCGGAAGGCTGAGGCAGGAGAATGGCGTGAACCTGGGAGGCGGAGCTTGCAGTGAGCCGAGATCGCACCACTGCACTCCAGCCTGGGTGAAAGTGTGAAATAAAAAATAAACCAAGATACTATGACACAACTATCAGAATGTCAGAATCCAGAACACTGATACCACCAAATGCTGGCCAGGATGAGGAGCAACAGGAATTCTAATTAATTGCTGGTGGGAATGCAAATTTGTACAGCCATTTTGGAAAAGTGTTTGGTGTTTTCTTTTTTTATTGTTCTTTTTTGAGACGGAATTTCACTCTTATTGCCCAGGCTGGAGTGCAATGGCTCACCACAACCTCCGCCTGCCTGGTTCAAGCGATTCTCCTGCCTTGGCCCCCCGAGTAGCTGGGATTACAGGCATGCACCACCACACCCGGCTAATTTTGTTTTCTTGTTTTTTAGTAGAGATGGGGTTTCTCCATGTTGGTCAGGTTGGTCTCGAACTCCCAACCTCAGGTGATCTGCCCGCCTCGGCCTCCCAAAGTGCTGGGATTACAGGCGTGAGCCACCACACCCAGCCTGGTGTTTTCTTAAAAGTAAATATACTTTAGCCATCTGTTCTAGCAATTGCAGTCCTTGACCTTTACTCAAAGGAGCTGAGAGCTTATGACTACACAGAAGCCTGTACACAGACGTTTATAGCAGCTTTATTCATAATTGTCAAAACATGGAAATAACCAAGACATCGTCTAGAAGATGAGGGGATTAATAAATGGTACATCCAGATAGTGGAATGTTATTCAGCATTAAAAAGAGATGAGCTATCAAGTCATGAAAAGACACAGAGAATCTTAAAATGCACAGCACTAGGTGAAAGAAGCCGGACTGAAAAGGCACCTACGGTGTGATTCCTACCTACATGACATTTTGGAAAATGCAATACTGTGGAGACAGTAGAAAGATCAGTGGTTGTCAGAGTGAGCACAGGAGTGAAGGATGAATAGGCAGAGCACAGAGGACTTTTAGGACATGCGAACTACTCTGAGTGACGTGGCAGTGGTGGATTCACGTCCTTGCATGTTTGTGGACATTCATACAATGTACAACACCAAAAGCAGACCCCAGTGTAAGCTACGGACTCGGGTGGAAATGACATGCCAATGAGGCTCATCAGTTGTAATAAACGCAGCACGCTGGTGTGGGGTGTGCACAGTGGGGGAGGCTGTGCATAGGATGGGGCAGGAGATACATAACCACTCTCTGTTCTTTCTGCTCAATTTTGTTGTGAGCCTAAATTGCTATAAAAAATGAAATTAAGCTGGGTGCGGTGGCTCACGCCTGTAATCCCAGCACTTTGAGAGGCCGAGGTGGGCGGATCACAAGGTCAGGAGATCGA